ATCCAGGCTGCAACACCTCTCCACCAGGCTAACAGTGATCACTGTCAATGACAGGCAGCCAGCCGCCTGTTGTATTCGGATCCCCGCACAGCACACACGCCGGAACATACAGCTGTCCCTCCGTGTGTGTCACAGACTTTACTGCAGTTCATTGTACAAAGTTTTTACAATGAACCGCAGTAAAGTCTGTGACATGGAGCTGGAGGGACAGCTGTCAGTACACACTGCGGGACGGGTGGCTGCGGCAGAACGTGGATGGAGAGTCGGGAGTCGCGACACTAATCTTGGGGGGGGCAATTGCCCCGTTGCCCCCCTGGATCCGCCACTGAGGAGGAGAACCTTGGCTGAGTGGGTGTTCGGCAGTGGGAACCCGTCCACACAAGCGGGTGGCTGGAGACGGAAAGAGAGAGGGGAGAGCCGAAGGTCCGTTCCTGTCACTGCTGTGTCTGCAGGAGGTAGACTGAGTCGGACTCGGCGGCTTCCGGTCGGCTACTACGGGCGCTTCACATACCTTCTTGTCAGTTGTTGACGTCACTGCGCCTCGTCTCGTCCTCAGTGCGCTTGCGTGGCAGAAGATATCGTCTCTGAAGCTCTTTTCTGCGCCTGCGTGCCCATCAGTGACCTTTGAAGTGGTACGGCGGACCTGGGCTCACGTGCCAGCAGAAACGGCCCCGCGTGCCCACTCTGACACGCGTGCCATAGGTTCGCCACCGCTGACATAGGGCCATGAGACATAGGGCCACCTAAATTAGGACCCGGAGACTGCCAGGTGACCCCGCTCGGAGCGCCGCCCACCGGAGCAGCAGTGACGCGACGCTCGGCAAAGTAAGTAAGAAGAAAAAATAAAAACATAGCGCAAGCTTCGGCGCTAGGCTTCGGGGCATTTTGACAAGTACAAATACTTGTCAAAATGCCCTGTATCGGGCCCGATTCCGATGCTAGCATCGGTATTGGGACATCCCTAATTACAACACACACAGGTACCATGGGGAACAAAAGTAGCCACCCTCCAGAAGGAAGGACAGTGTCGGCACCAATTCAGAGATGATTTGAGGATCTACAGCTGGGTGATGCACTATTGTTAATAGTTAAGGTACTTGCATGCGTTTTTAAGGTTTAGCTCCTGAGTTTAGTGTCACTTTAAAGGAGAACTATGGGGTTAGGGCTTTTCCCCATAGTTCTCCTAAGGGTAACGAGAGGACACAAACTAGCGTCCTCCCATCACCCTAAGCTCAGTATACCGCGAGCTACAGCTCGCGGTATACTGTGACGCCGCAGTATACCGCGATCTACAGACACGCCGCAGCTGAAACGGTTCCCGACAACTATGTCTGGATCCGCGCAGCTGCGTGGGTGACAGCTGGCTCTGCCTATCTAGAGGCAGAGCCAGCTGTACCCGCCCCCTCCCCCGTCCATTCCGCCAGTCAGCGCTGGCAGATCGGAGAGGGGAATCCAGCCCCTCCCCCTGTCACGGCAGAGAGCCATGACAGGATCGAGAAGTGAGCGAACGCCGCTATGTGTTCGCTCACTTCCCGATCTACTGATCCGACCTGTGACAGTCTCACTGTCACAGGTCGGCTAGAACTATGAGGATGAGTGAAAAGCACTCACCTCATAGTTCTCCTTTAAATACACTTAAGACCAAACCAACATATAATTTTCTGGAGGGTAGAATTGTGTGGAAATCTGTAGGTAGAGCTTTACTAACCCTTTCAGCTTCATCTCTGTTCCTCTAAGAAATTGCTTTCCTTGGTGAACTCGTTTTCACATGTCTGGACTGGAAAAATTCCACCACAAGGTAGCAAAGCTTACACTTTAATTGTTCCCAGACCCAAAACAATATATTTTTATATTTCTGCTTACAATTCGTTAGTTGCATTAGCTGTTTTGGTTTTTGTTAGGCTTTTTTCCCATTATTTCGGATGGCAATCCTGCCAGTAACATATTTCCTGTCCTGAGGTAACAACACTTATTCACTGTACTTTATTCTATGCAGGAGCAGTGTTTTTACCCTAAGACAGAAGATTTGTTAGGATTACACAACACCTTACCCTCTCCCCATTTATGTATCACGTGGGGGGGAGTGTTCTGTAGTCCACAGATGTGCACTGAGAGGGCTGATTGCATTGTTATCTGATGACCATACAGAGTGCACAAGATAGAAGACAGCACTGGATTTTTGGCAGGACGAACATGTATTTTTGCACTTAATGAACAGATAATACAGAACACATTCACTGGCATATTTAACAGGCCAGAAGAGGCAAATCAGAGAATTGTCAGGGTCTGCATGCAGTTAAATTCTGTTGCCCACAAACTGTGAAAGTGAGTAGATCACTGAAAGCTTCATGGCTTTGGATTTAGATAGCAGAACTGCAAAATGAGTGTAGAAGTAATGGTATTTCATGTTTCTTCTTTCACCTTACAGGACACTAATACCACAATGTACAGTCAGAAACGCTATGACAGCCCACCAGATTACAGCCCACCTACGTACCTTCAACAGAACAGCCATGGTCCTGGATCCTATGGTTATCACATTCACTCTGCCCATCCTGATTCATTTTACCAAGAGGACATCCCCCCACAGCACTTCTATAAGTGGAAATCACCACCTGGCATTGTCCGAATTCTTCAGGGCATTGTTGTATTTTTATGTTTGGCTATTTTTGCCTGTGTGGCATCAACGTTGTCCTGGGAATATAACTATGGATACATGGGCGGCTTAGGTGGATACGGCTATGGTGGAGGCTATGGTGGATATGGTGGCTATGGTGGATATGGTTATGGGGGTAACTCAGGCTATGGTTATGGCTATGGTATGACCAACCCTCAAGCTGCAAGTGGCTTCATGATGGCCATGGCTGTGTTGACTTTTATAGCTAACTTGGGACTCTTTATAGCAAGTGTAACTAAATCTGGTGGAACTCGATCACGTAAGTTCTTTATGATTATATTGGTGCTGAGTGCAGTTTTGGCTACCCTGGATATTATTGCCTCTATTGTGTACATTGTTGGAGTAAATCCAAGAGCCCAGATGAGTGGTGGCATGTATTATAGTCAGATGATGGCATTATGTAACCAGTTCTACTCTCCTGTGACTTCTGGAGCAGGCATCATGAATCAATATCTGTACCACTACTGCATGGTGGATCCACAGGAGGTAAGCTCGTGTTATTTGCATTGAAAGAAAAAAGCTGGGATTTATTTTTGTAACATATTATCACCATATAAACTACTGCAATCATTTCTATATGTTTTTCCTAGGCCATTGCTATAGTGTGTGGCTTTATTGTGGTCATTCTGCTGTGTGTCACATCCTTCTTTGCACAGAAGACAAGAAGCAAGATATGGCGTTACGGAGAACCTAATATTTACTGGGAAAAACCCTTTGAGCCCTATCAAGAGGGTCCTAATGTGGAGGAATGGGTAAGAGCTGCATTAATAATTATCAATACAAAATCTCAGTTCTCACTGATCTGTAAACATTAAAATTAGGTTATTATTTTTAAGTGACTTACATAAGAGTTGTTGTTCATTTAGAGGTTAAATCTAGATATACATTTAGTTTGTGGAAAGGGTGTGTAAAACATGATGTTATATTTATCTATCTATCTACATAGACCTGTGGGGGTCAACTTACAAGGTATAATGTGTCTCTGTTGCAGTCCCTGACACCACCAAGGGGCTGCACATAATATTCAATATATGAAATGTATAGAAGACTGTCAGAGACTGCAGATATACTATAGGAGATGGCTAGAATCTGTAGAAATATTTCAGGTGTGGTTGGGGACACATTTATTGAGACATGTGGAGATCAACAAAATTGTAGCTCAATGTTCCCTCTTTCATTAAGGGTTGCTGGGGTCTGAGGGCCAAAAAACAAGTACCAAAGAGTTGATGTGGCCATTGTGCTGCAGGTTGGAAACCAAGGTCATAGGTGCACTGTAAAGATCTTCTGGACCTCTGGCTCTTTTCTCTGTTGACTGGCTATTCCTATGTCCTAAAAATAATAACTTTTTATTTGCATTAAAATGTATGCATAGCCAAAACTTTTTTTTTAGCTTTGGATAGAGTAGTAGGGTTAAAACACCAGCCATGTTATATATTGTTTTTGTCTGTGTATCATTGGAGGAATTTACATTTACATTTCTTCCCAGTGATACATCTGAGCCGACCTGTGACAGTCTCATTGTCACAGGTCGGCTAGAACTATGAGGTGAGTGAAAAGCACTCACCTCATAGTTCTCCTTTAAAAGAAAGCTCCTAAAGCGTGGGAATTTCCCTCTTAGATAGTTGTCTCTAAAACCGATATTGTTCTTGGAACAACTCTAAAATGTTTTATTTTCTGTCACTTTCTTTCTTTTTGACAATGGTCACCAATAGAAATAGGATGGGGGAATGGGGAATAACCACTAGCAGTGGTTCAATAACTATTTTATGTGCAGAAATAATGATTAAGCTCCTATATAATGTTTAGGTATTTCTATCCAAATATTTTAATTTCTATGCCTCAAGTAACATTTACAGTAATATATACTATGCCATTATTTCTATAATATTTATTATTTTCACATTTGCTGTCCACAATCATATTTTATTAACTACGCCACATTAAATTCTATGGAACACCTGCTCCACATGATCTTACTTGCTGCCACACACACATGCACTCCACATTTGATGGTCTGCAGATAATTAGTTTAAAATTCTCATTTGCATATGCTGGTATTTGCATGAGAAAAAAGAAATGAGGCTGGGAAAATAGACCGAATCAAGCCATAGTTATGTGATTGCATTCAATTCAACCTGGATAATAATGTCCTATAGTCCACTCAAAACTAAAAAAAAAAAAAAATTGTAGATTATGTTGGGGAATGTATCACCTATCAGCTTCTTCAAATTTAAACTGGATGCATAAAAAATGAATAAATTATTTAAGTTGATGCAGTGGTGAGCTTAGGAGATATGAGAGGCTAGTGTGTGAATCATCCCGCCAGTACCCTCCCAGAATTAATATGTTCACCTTCAAAGAGGTGTAATCAAAGTTTTATTTTAAACTGGCAAAAGGTTAATACTTGTTTAGCATTGGCTTGGATTGGATCCTTGGCATGCCCATTGTTAAGATTTTGGAATTTGTCCTACAGAAAATTTGGTGTACCATGTTGCTTCTAGTCAATGTGGGGTTTTGTGGTTCTTGATGGAGCTCCTGTGTAGGTTCATCCTGAGATGCAGCTTAAGGCCAGTTTCCCCAATGTAACAACCTTTGTCACATGGTGAACACTGTATCATGTACAACACGTTAGCAGATGTACATGAGTATGATCCCTTAATGGTGTACATTTTGTTGTTGTGACTCGCTGTATTCTTGTCACATATATGTTGGCAAAGTTTGCAGCGGGGTTTTTTGCATTGTACTGTGCCATTCTGTGTCCGTTCCTCTTCTGGGGTCAACTTACTGCGTACCAATCTTCTTCTCAGGTTCAGTGGTTGATTGAAAGCCAGTTTTGGGGGCTGAGGGAAAATGTCTTGTAGTATGGGGTCTTCTGAGAGTACTGGCTGTAGATCTTTGATGATTTTGCGTATTACCTCTAAAGTGGTGTTGTAGGTAACTACAATAGGGGTCCTGGTTGTGTTTTTCTTCTTGTACTGTAGGAGTCTTTCCCGTGGTGTTTTTAGGGCAGATTTAATTTTTTTGGATATAGTCTTTTCCCTGTAGCCCTTTCGCCGAAGTGTGCTCAGGTGTTTGTCTCTGTCCTCAGTGTCAGAGCAAATGCAGTGGTATCGGATTGCTTGGCTGTAGATGACACCCTGTTTAGTGTGACTCGGATGGAAGCTGGCATTATGGAGGTAGCTGTACCTGTCTGTGGGTTTTCTGTACACTGAAGAAAGGAGTGAGCCATTGCTGACAGTTATGGCACAATCCAATACATGCTGCCCAAAATCCATAAGCCAGGAAACCCAGGACGACCCATTATTACAGGTATGGAAACAATTACAGAACAAATATCTGGCTTAATTGAAAACATTCTGAAGCCCCTTGTTATCACAACTGAGAGCTTCATACAGGACACCACAGATGTTCTTAACAAACTGAGCCAAATGTGGCTTACACAAGACTTTCTTTCACTCCTAGCCGCTAAACAGAATGGTGGAGGAGTGAAAGAAAGGTTTAAGGCACATGTTTACTTTTAGTACATAAAACATGCATGAGGCATGTTCGGGGTAGTGGGTATAGAGATGGATATGATATAGTTCATACTGCATACGTAACTACTATAATTGTGATGTGCAAAGATTGCAAACATTTTTTATCTTGAGTAGCGTGCAGTTTGCTTTCAGTTTGCTTACATTTAGGCTGGGTTCACACCTGGGCATTACTATAGGCGCATTTTCAGCTCGTTTTTAGCACGTTTTTTAGTTCAGTGAAACACGCGTTCGAAGCTCGTTTTTTATACCTCCCTTGCGGTATGATTTTTTTTTTCCTTGTTTTCTCTATATTTTTTTCGGGGGTTTTTTTAAAAAACTTTTTAAACTTCCCGCCGGTTCTGCCCCCCTGCGACGCGGACGCTCGCAAGGGACGGAAGACGGCAGCGGCCAGAGGACACAGCGGGGATCGCGTACAAAGTAAGACCTACACTGTATTCCCGAGTGTGGCTCGGGGATTACCGCTTTGTTAACCCCGAGCCACACTCAGGAATTCCAATGGATACACGCGTAAATAAGCCCCAAAAGAAGCTCCTGTACTAATTCGGGCATAGGGCATTTTTCAGCGTCAAAGTGCGCTGAAATACGCCCAGGTGGGAACCATGCCCATAGGAAATTATGGGATTTCACTGCTTGAGCGTTTTTCAGTGCTTCGATCAACGCTGAAAGACGCCCAGGTGTGAACCCAGCCTCAGAACAGAACAGATACAATCAGAACTAGTAAATGTGTCTGCCCCACAATGAAGGTAAAGTAAAATTACTGCCCAATGTATTATTTTAGCAGGCAATACTATTAGTATTAGTAGATCACACACAATATACCACTTTAAATAAAATGACAGACTTAGGATGCATAGCTTGGCATAAATGAATACTAGATTTACAATTTCATCTCATAGTAACCTATTGACACTAATAAGAAGGCATAAAAAGTAATGCCTAACTAACAAACCATAATTCACTATATTGAACCAAAAAAGTCAGACAAAAATGTATTATATTAAGCAATATCTTTAGAAAGATAAGTTGGCTATTTCTAATAAAATGCTTACATCCTTCTCCACTCAATCAAGCAGGGGATCTAGGTGGAATTTTCTTTAGTTGTGTGTGCTCTGTCATTAGCAAATGGTTTAGATGTTTTTCATTATGCCTTCACTGGCATCTTTGACTTGTGGCTAGACAAGTACATAACCCCTGGATAAACACCAGGGAGGAATAATAGAGGGGACCACTGTAAGAGCAAATGGTTTAGATTATTTCTCATTATGCCATCACTGGCATCTTTGTCTTGTGGTTAGACTTGTACATAACCCCTGGATAAACACCAGGGAGGAATAATAGAGGAGACCACTGTAAGAGGAGAAGAGATGCGCTACAGGGGGTACTGTGGGGCAGTGGCGGACCTAAGGAATAAAGGGCCCTGGTGTGGGTGCGGATCTCACTGGCCCCCCAACCCCCCCAGCGGTCTCTGCAGCAGAGGAGCTTACACTCTAATGCCCCCCCCCCACAGT